CTCACGTTTTGCTTTCATTTCTGCTTCTCACAGGTTCCCACTCTGTGGGTGTATCACACAGACATTCCACCTGGGGTCCCAGCTCAGCCCCCTCCCATTTCCTACAGATCACTAAACCCTTCCATGACAAAACAATCACATTGACTCTGCTGTCACTGTCATCTTAATGTTATACTTGTGCATTTATTCTTTCTGTATGACAGCTATTTGGTCAAAATGGCCCTTTTACTGGAAATTGATACTTACTGACTTCACACCTTGCCTCTGTTCTTTTTTATCTGGGGTTGAACATAAGAAATCAGAGCAAAATATTTTTTCACCTACACTAAAACTGCCTCATAAGATCCATGCTGGTGCACCTCAGAGTGGGCTCCTCAAGAAAAAGTGAACTTACAGTCTGCATAAGCCTGGAGAAATGTAGAATATTTTAAAGACTGTTTCCTCTGAAGGCTGTATTGTTTCAATGGCACATTTCTCCCAGTCTTCCCTTCCTGTTTTTCCATTCTTGTGAACACAGGGTATTTTAAGAGTCCATCTGCTCATGTTACTTATTCCTCTCCACTTTAAGTCATAACCCTTTGTGATATTACAGTTAATTGCTCTGTCTGTGATTCTATTGCAACCATGAATGGGATCATGATTTTCAACCCTATCTGTACTGGAGTAATTTCAAAATATTTCACCTATTATCAGTTCCATCTGAACTTTAATGGCTTTTACAATTTTGAGGACATTTATTGTGTATCTAGTGAAACTGATGCTATTCCTAAATAGACAGGTGCCCATATTGCATTTTACACCAGCTGTAACTAGAATAATTTGGATCTTGCACCTTTCTGGCCTGCCTTTAGTTATGTTACTTCCATTTATAGAAGGAAGGTTTGCTACGGGTGGAGTGGGATGTTATTTAAAAATAGCACAATGTATTTTAAACCATTTCTGAGCAAAGGTGTGGACATCCCATTCTGGAAATGTCAGTAGGTGAAGCATCTACACCATGCCTATGCCACGGCTCTTGCTTTGTCACCCTCCCCACGTAAAACTGTCCTTCCTTTAAACAACAGGACGTGGGACAGAGGATGGTCCGAGGTTCCTTGCGACCCTTTGCTCCGTGAGAAATGTGATGTTTGCATACACTCTGCTTGGCGAAACGCTTTTCACCAGACACGATGGGAAACAGCAGAACGAGCGGGGTTATTTTGTTTTGTTTAGTGGTGGATGGGTGTGTTTTGGCTGGCTTTGGCGCTGTTTTTTGGGGGCGGCGGTGCGG